TTCCAAGGATGATGCTGGAACTTCTGTTGATTCTACGCTTTATAGAAGCATGATCGATAGTTTGCTTTACTTAACTGCCAGTAGACCTGATCTGTGTTTTAGTATAGGGATGTGCGCTCAGTACCAGGCCAATCCTAAGGAATCTCACTTGAAGGCAGTGAAGCACATCATCAAATATGTGCATGGTACATCAGACTTGGGTATTTGGTACTCACGAGACACGTCTTCTAGTCTTGTAGGTTGTTGTGATGCAGATTGGGCTGGGAACGTCGATGATCGACGCAGTACCTCTGGTGGTTGCTTCTACATTGGCAATAATCTCATCTCCTGGCTTAGTAAGAAGCAAAATTGCGTAGCACTCTCGACAGCTGAAGCTGAATACATATCTGCTGGTAGTTGCTGTTCTCAACTCATGTGGATGAAGCAGATGGTGATTGAGTTTGGACTAGAGGTAAGAACCGTGAACCTCTTTTGTGACAATACTAGTGCCATTAATATCTCTAAGAATCCGGTTCAGCACTCTAGGACTAAACACATCGATATACGCTATCACTTTATTAGAGACTTAGTTGAGAATGATGTGATTGTGCTTGAGCATATTTCTACACAAAACCAGTTAGCTGACATCTTCACTAAGGCTCTGGATTCTCAAAGGTTCATTTCTCTAAGGAAATCCTTAGGGATCTGTTCATTCTGAGTGCTTGTGTGTCTTTGCATTATATTATATTTTATTGTATATTAATAATAAATATCTATTGCATTGCGTGTAAGCATATAGGGTATATTGCATTAGGCATATCGTGCATCTTGCATTCTCTTCACCACTAGATTCTTGATTGAAGTTCCAACTCTTCTGAAAACTTGAGAAGTGTTGATGGTTTAAGTCTGATTGCGTGTTCTTATGGTACCGAGGAACATACTTATTTTCTGTATTTTTTTTTTCTTTGTCACAAAGAGCTGCCTTCTCATAAATGATCTAGAGCGATAGCTAGCACATGGTTCGTTTCCCCAATGTGGGATCGACTGTGAAAAGAGCGTCTGAGATAGAAAATGTTGAGAAAGGGCGTAAGCTAGTGACACGCATTGCATATTACTATGTGATGTTCTTACTTGGAGTGATAAGGTGGCCATCCTCATAAAAAACGTAGTGCTGATTTATTAAAAAAAAAACAAAAAAAAACGTAGGATCCTTGCTTAAAATCGTGGTGCAAAGTAGTGGGGTTGACTTTCACTATTGCAGTGATTGTTACTAAGTGAAACGCACTATGAATAATAAAACATGTGTTCTTGCATATATGAAGTTGTGGTTTGCACTACCTTGTGTATATACATATATCCGCTTATCGTATGTTCCTTGGGAAATCTGAATATCAAAGTTGGTCTTGGGCTATTTTCATCGATTTTGTCTAAGTTGAGAAGGAAAAGATTTTTAGAATCTGGTGAACTTTGTGTGCGATTTTATTACCTTACTTTTAATTCTCATTTTTTTTAGGCATTCTTGCATAAGATTTCCTTTTTGAATATAATCTATTTGAGTCTAAAATTTTGTGAAGTATGTGTGCTCAAGTATGAAATCTGATTTCTTTCCTAAAAATCGAAATAATGTGAGAAGTTATTTATGTGAGAGGTTGTATTGTGTTTGAATTTGGATTTGGAGGGATTAGTTTCTTGCCTTAAACCGCCCCAAGTTGCAACGTCTCTTTCTCTCTCCTCACCTTGAATGTCGGAAAACCACCTTTTGCAGTTATCTATGTCAGAACTCTTTATATCTCTCACGCTTCTCAATTTCAATCATATCTTTTTCGTCTGAACTTATCTTCCTCTCTCATTCTCTTTTTCAAACCTTCTGAAACCCTACCTCTCCCATACTCAATCGCCGTTCCTCCTCCCATGGCTGGTAGCAAGGACAAGTCGAAGAAACGTCTTAAGAAGCACAAGGAGAAGTGGCTGAAGCGGCGTCGCCTATCCCTCTCTACAAGTTCTGCCCGTGAACCATCTCCTCCGCCGGCTAAATCCCCATCGCCTGAGTCGCCTCCTCCTGAGAAGTCGATTTCTATCTCTGCAACCTCGTCTGGTTCTCCGTCCAACTCAGAGACTGCCGATAAAAATCTTGAGATCTCTCCTCTCGCCACCAGTGTACCTGGTCTGTCAGGGCTTGTTGAGACTGCAGCGGCTCCAATTCAGGGGGAGTCGTCTGTTGTTCCAACTTCGGCGAGCAAATCTGCTACCAAGACGACGTCAAAGACCGCAACCAAAGCAGGCGAAGAGGACAAGAAAGACACAGCTGCAACTCTCGTTGATGTTCATTCTGATCAGCCCTCGCCACCGTCCAAGATGCCTGTTCGTCGCTCAACTCGTCGCCGGGGCAAAGAATCCATTGATGCACCGCCTGTTCCTCCAGAACCTGAGGACGATGCTTATGATCTTGAGAACACCTTCACTAATCGGTTCTATACTGAGGCGGCCCATGAGCGCTTTGTTTCTTTTGGTTCCTATGGTTTCTGGTCCGAACGTCCTGTGGAAGATGGTAAGTTTGCTGATCTTGGCATCCTTCGTTTGATTGAGTCTGTGGGTTTGTCTAAAACTGTGTCTGATCTTCAACCCTTCTGTGGTCAAGTTGTCAAAGAATTTTATGCGAATCTCACCCCTGCTGTGTTTGATCCTAATAGTCCCCGTTTTCACAAGCTTTTTCTTCGCAATCGTGTACTTGATGTGTCTCCCAGTCTGTTTAACACTCATCTTGGCCTACCTTCTGATCTTGATACCTCCTCTTTTTCTGATGTTGATCTGGATACCATGACCAAAGTTCTTACTTCTGGTCAATTGGATACTTGGCCTGGTTCTAATCTGCCTGTTAGTTCACTTTGTTTGGTTGCCAATCTATTGCATAAGATTGGTGCTGGGAATTGGACTCCAACTTCCAATAAAACTCTTCTCACTGAGTCCCAGAGTAAAGTGATCTATTGTGTTATGATTGGGCAGATTTTCAGTTTTGGGCACATGTTCTTTGATATCCTTCATACCTTTGCTACAAATATTGAATCTCGTAAGACCCTCCCTTTTCCCTGTCTTATTTGGTCTTTCTTGAGTGCCCACAACTTTGCTGTTAATCCTCGTTATCAAGACTCTCTTGAGAACCCTGGCAAAGCATTCACCGTAAGTGCTCGTACTCTCAATGAAAAGGGAACCTCCAAGGTCACACGGGAACTGGCTCCCTCCTTGGTTCCTAAGAAACACACAAAAGAAGAAATACTACTCCTCATCATCATAGTAATTCGCAATGGCATCATTGGTGCTATCTCCGTCAGAGTCAGATCCTCCATCATCCTTCACAGCGGCTTTTCCCTTCTCCCCCTTTTTCGAACTACGAGATGCCGAAGGGCCTGTCCCCGCAGTCTTTCGATTGGTCCCCTTAACCGCCTGCAGCACTTGCTTGAGGTAGGCCTGCTGAGCAGCAACGCGTTTAGCGATCGCGTCCCATTCACTAGGGAGGTCTTTATGTAATAAAGAACCTCGTACTTATTTGCTTTTGATGTTGTGATTGGGTTGCTACTATTTACTTTTGTTAATGGTTTAGTATTTTTTTTATGGATGATCTTTTTTTGCGAACTTGGTCTCTTTAATTGATGTCGTTTTCTGTTATACTTCCATGCACAGATTGCAGGTACTGAGGGGGAGAACTGCCCATATAATATTTTTGTGTGATCTAACTTATTACTGTGATTAGTCTCTTGGTGCTTGTTGTTTTCATTTCAGGGGACCTTAATGTCTACTATTTTCGAACTAGATGCCAAAGGGGGAGATTGAAAGATATATTTTATTTTGGCATTAGTTCGAAGGTTCGAACAAGCACCTGGAACTACAGAAACAGGGAAGATCTTTGCTTATTTGTTTCCTTAATTACATTTATTTTATATTCCATAAATAAGATATTATGGATCTTATTATGGTACTTTGTTTTGTAGGAAATCGGATGAGATAAGGAAAGGAGAGGCATGTATGATAAAGTGATCAAGGAGAGAGAGAGAAGAAGATTCACTTACCA